CCCCCGCTCAGCAACTGGTTGCTGCCCACCCCACATTGGCCACTGCCCCCCCCCCGCACCAGCTCATCTGGCCACTGAGGATATACTGACCCAAAAAAGGTTGAAAACCCTGAACTAGGGGAAAGATACCAGAAACTGGGAGTGTCTCTATGCAGAATGACCTCATCTTGTACCTTATGACAGAGTACATCCTTAAGTATAATTTTTTTTGGAGAGATCTGAATAAACAGAGGTCATCTTCATAAAACTAGATTCGGGTATCTGATTATCAAATAACAGAATGATTCAGTGGTCCTTTTGTTGGTTTGAGAAAACAGAACAAAATGCAGAAGCATGTCTCAGTACAAAATAACTGCACAACACTGTGCCCAGATGCAACACTGTCTCTGACAGACATGTCTGTAGTGTCCATAAAATGGCCACTTCTGTTTCCCTCCCTAAGAAATTATAGATTATATAATGAAGGACTTGACTGAAGCACCCATGCAGTGAGCAGAAATTAAGGTTGCTGTGGAAATTTTTGCCCAAGTACAACCTCTACCTGCATTCAGTATTTTTTTTTTGGCATATCCTATTTATATATATTTCATTCCATGGCAATAGTCATATGCCCCCAACTGTGCACACAGAACTATAAATACTGCATATCTTGGCTGCTAAAAAATAATTTGGACTTCAGCCTTAAAACACAAGGTAAAGACTTGAATAATTACCTAAAAAGGCACTGTTTAAAAAATATAAGATTTTTGCAGTGGGTGTTACAGTCTATAGAACTAAATCCACGAGTAACTTGTTTTCCAAACTTTGAAAAAAAAAAAATGGCTATACAGAAAAACAACAAAATCATTAGGTATTTTAGACTTTTGCCTTCTTTTTCTACAAACCTTGCTTTCTTCACATTTGTTATTGAAATATCTTCTCCAATAAGCATGAGGTGGTTCTTATGTATGCTATTCTACCACTGTGAATTTAAAATGCAATTTGAATGAGTATCAGTTTATTATTATGATAAGCTGACATAAGTTTATAATTTCTGAAGAAGTGTTTTTAAGTCTGACTTCTCTGTTGAAGATACGAAATTGACAGATTGCCCAGAATGTGTTGAACTGGTAAAACTGTCAGCCAGTCCCTGACACATTTTAAAGTATAACTAGTCAATAGAAATCCTTGATTTTTAGCTACCGCTGGTATTGATTTAAAAGCTAATTACCATGTTTATTGGCCTGCGGTCAATGTATAGCAGAAGTCATAAGGAGAATTACAAGTTTAAATACACTAAATAGCAAACTCAAAACCACAACCAAACACTACTATTTCATTAAATAGTTCTATAAACATACTGATGTTTATATACTGATGTAGTGGTTTACCCCTGGACTAATGAGGCATTCTGATTAATTTTGTGCACTAAAGGGAATCACCAAATTGGCAATCCCTTGGTAAAAGAAAATCCTACTAGAATGATTAAAAGAACACTGAGAAGACCAAGTCTGAAGTCACCTAACTTTTGGTCCCAGCACAGAAAACCACTTCAGTATATGCATACCTCCTTAAACCCAATTCAGTCTCATTGACCGAAACAGAATTTAGGTGCTGTCTTTAAAACCAAAGTCTGGTTTAATAGTTCAGAAAATACAATACATGCTGTTGGCTGCTGTTGTACGTATTTAACATCTCCCCACCCCACACACACACACTTTTTTTTTTTTTTTTTT